ATTTCACTCGTAGTAGTAGTAGTACTAGTAGTAGTAGTAGTAGTAGTAGTAGTAGTAGTAGTAGTAGTAGTAGTGGTGGTCGTAGTAGTAGTAGTCGTAGTAGTAGCCGTAGTACTAGTACTAGTCATAGTGGTAATGAAAATAATAGTGGTAGTGGTAGTCGTAATAATACTAGTCATCGTAGTCGTAGTACTAGTTGTGGTAGTAGTAGTAGTAGTAGTAGTAGTCGTCGTAGTAAAAGTAGTACTCGTCGTACAACAGTAGCAGTAGTAGTAGTAGTAGTAGTAGTAGTAGTCGTAGTAGTAGTAGTAGTAATGGTAGTAGCCGTCATAGTAGTGGTGGTCACAATCCTAGTGGTATTCTTAATGATAATTGTGGTAGTGAAAATCACAGTAGTGCTATACGCAGCAATAAAAGTAGTAGCGGTGGTAGAAGTAGATGTACTCTATTGTTATTGATGTTATAGACGCGTATTGCTATGTACGCGTATTGTTTTGTACGGGTATTGTTTTGCACGTGCGATCTATATACGTACTGCATGCGTATTGAATGCGTAAGGTATTCGTATTGTATGATCATTGCATATGTTATTTCCCGAGCCACAACGCACGACACTTCACTCGTGCACTGCGCGCAGGCAGCGCTCAACCCTAGTAGTAGCAGTGGAGATAGTCGTAGAAGGTGGTGGTAGTAGTAGTAGTAGTAGTAGTAGTAGTAGTAGTAGTAGTAGCAGTAGTAGTAGTCGCAGTAGAAGTAAACGTAGCAGTGGTAGTGATAGTAGTACTACTAGTAGTAGTAGTAGTAGTAGTTGTTGTTGTAGTAGTAGTAGTAGTAGTAGTAGTAGTAGCATCATCAGCAACAATATTAGCAAAACAAAAGTCACCGTGTAGTACTAGTCGTAGTAGTAATGCTGATCGTGCTAGTAGTAGCAGTAGTAGTAGTAGTAGTAGCAGTAGTAGTAGTAGTAGTAGCAGTACTACTAGTAGTAGTAGTAGTACTAGAAGTAGTAGTAGTAGTAGTAGTAGCAGTAGTAGTAGTAGTAGTAGTAGTTGTAGTAGTAGTAGTAGTAGTAGTACTACCAATGAAAGGAACAATCTTAGTAGTATTAGTAGTAGTCGTAGTAGTAGTAAAACACCTAAGAACAGTAATCGTACTAGAACGACGACGAATAGACATCGTAATAGTAGAAGTACTAGATGTAAAAAAATGTAGTCGTAGTTAGAATCGAATCCGTATTCGCAGTCATAGCATTTGGATCAGTAGTAGTAGCACAAGAAGTGTTAGTACTCCTAGTAGTAATAATCAAAGAAAGTAGTAGTAGTAGTAGTAGTAGTAGTGGTAGTAGTAGTAGTAGTGGTAGTAGTAGTAGTAGTAATGGTAGTAGTGGTAGTAGTAGTAGTAGTAGTAGTAGTAGTAGTGGTAGTAGTAGTAGAAATAGTAATAGTAATAGTAGCAGTAGTAGTATTGGTAGTAGTAGTAGTAGAAGTAGAAGTAGTAGTAGTAGTAGTAGTAGTAGTAGTAGTAGTAGTGGGACCAGTAGACATGGTCGTAGCAGTAGTGGTGGTAGTAGTAGTAGTCGTAGTAGATGTAGTAATCGTCGTAGTCGCATCGTAGTAGTAGTCGTAGTAGTAGTAGTAGTAGTAGTAGTAGTAGTAGTAGTAGTAATAGTAGGTAGTAGTAGTCGTAGTAGTAGTAGTAGTAGTAGTAGTAGTAGTAGTAGTGGTAGTAGTAGTAGTAGTAGTAGTGGTAGTGGTGGTGGTGGTGGTAGTAGGAGTAGTAGTAGTAGTAGTAGTAGAAGTAGTGGTAGTAGTAGTAGTGGTAGTTATAGTAGCAGTGGTGGTAGTAGTAGTAATATGAGTGGTGGTAAGAATCGTGGTAGTAGTAGTAGTAGTAGTAGTAGTAATAAAGTAGTAGTAGTAGTAGTAGTAGTAGCTGTAGTTGTAGTTGTAGTAGTAGTAGTAGTAGTAGCAGTAGTAGTATTAGTAGTAGTAGTAGTAGTAGTAGCAGCAGTAGTAGTAGTAGTAGCAGTAGTAGCAATTGTGAAAAATAGTAGCAATATTTGTAGCAGTAGTAATACTAGAAGTAGTCGTAGTAGTAGTAGTAGTAGTAGTAGTAGTAGTAGTAGTAGTAGTAGTAGTGGCAGTGGAAACAATATCAGTTCTGAGAGTAATGATAGTAGTTGTAGTCGATGTAATGGTAGTAGGCGTGGTCGTAGTAATACGAGTGGTGGCATTGGAAGAAGAGGGAGCAGGAGGAGGAGAAGCAGGAGGAGGAGCAGCATGAGCGGGAGAAGGGGGGCCGTTGGGCGTCGTCTTGGGAGCCTGGAAAAAGGACTCCGAATGAGGGATCCCACATTGGTGACCGGATCTTTTGTGCGACGGAGCCGGCACAATGCGGCGGGAGGTGGGCAGCAGGCAGGCGGATCGGGTATGTCATGCAATTCCCAAGGGGGCTCTCTTGCAATGGTGTGGTGTTCAGTACTGGAAACGGAAGCAGCGCACGCCGGCAGCGAGCTGTGCGCGCGCGGCGGGCCACGGGCATCGGGCGAGCGAATCGGGATTGCAAAAAAGAACGCCTGCGGGTTTTATCTCTTGCAGAGGGATGCCAGTCAGTATTGGGAGTTGCGTGGGGAACCCGGGCGAAGCGAACCTCGGCAAAGCGAACGGGGGGAAGCGAATCCAGGCGGAACGAAACCTGGGCGAAGCGAAACCCGGGCGAAGCGAAGCGAACTGGGCGAAGAATTATCGGGGCCTGAGCGAAGCGAAACCCAGGCGAAGCGGAACCCAGGCGAAGCGAGTCCAGGCGAAGCGAACCCAGGCGAAGCGATTCGGGGCGAAGCGAACAGGGCGAAGCCAGCACGGGCGAAGCGGCGAAGAGACCAGGGCGAAGCGAACCAGGGCGAAGCGAATCCCTGCGAAGCGAAACCTGGGCGAAGCGAACCAGGCGAAGCCGACCGGCGGGCGAAGCGAAACCCATGTGAAGCGAAACTCTGCCGACTGTGGCACCCGCGAGGGTTTGTACGAAGTCAGACGGAAGATAAGTTAGATTATCCAAAAGAGGGCCCCAACATGACCCTTGAGAGACTACTAAGACGGGACGAAGACGGCCACAAGAAGCGGGCCCCAAGATGCGCCAAGGCGTCCCAAGAGGGCCCCCAGAAGGACGGCCCCAGATGGCCACACGAGGGCCACAAGAGGACCCCAAACCAAACACAGGACAGTCATTCACGGGGAATCAGCATTCTGAGTTTGGATTGGTTGTTAACCCAAATCGGCCCGACTTTTCACAGAGCAGAGGGCGGTGTCGGTTTATCATGTTTTGTAGTGCCAAGGCTTGTCGTGTCAAACAGATGTACGCATCGATGTCGGATTGTTTTCAAATTTGAGCTCCCGCCTGAGATGCCCTAACACCTTGTAGTCCCAAGTGTTGACATCACCCTTCGCTAATTACACGGGAACTGGGGGGGTCATTGTGAAAATCAGGGTCTCGTCTGCAATGTCCTACATACTGTTGGCCCATGACCTGAGTGTTCTAACAGCCAGGCAGAGGAAGCGCGGATGTTCAGGGGGGACAAAGATTGAGAGCTGGTGGTATCGTCAGTGCGGCGGCAAGGAGCACGTCGGCACTGGCCACCAAGATTGTTCTTACGGGACCCAGAACATCGGCTAAATCTCAGCGGCTACGGAGTTGTCAGCGCCAACAGATGTGGCGACTCCACGGTTCTGTCTAGCTCTATTTGTTCATACGCATGCCTTGTATGCAGTATACACTGTTTAACAACTTCCTTTATCACGCCCCGCGATGCGCGATGTGTGGTCATTTTCCCGCCCCTCGGAACCGCCCAATTTCAAACAGATTCTGAACCACGTCACGCCGACCAATGTCTGCAAGTCAATCCGACATCCCTCTTGTTCCAACCACCATCCCCTGCTTTCCTCTCCCTTCACATTCCCACTTGGCTTGACAGCCGAGATCGCGACCGTAGCGCAATGGAGGAGGTGGTACAAATCAGATCGAAATAAGAACTCTGGTTAACAATTCCCCGGGGGAATTTGAGGCACGAGTCTACCTCAAATACGTATCCGTGCTGGCCATGTTGCTGTGACGTCATCTGGTCTCCCTCCAGAGCCGATGCTACCCATGCAATATGTATTATTCTCGTCCTTGCTCTTCGCCTACTCGTCAACATCACAAATACCTGCGACTTCTCTTCACCAATTCCAGCCTCGTCCTCGCCTTGGTTACTACAATCCTGACCACTTCAACTCCACACTGTCATACCACCATCACTACTCTCGAACTCGAACGTTGTCAAGTGTCTACGTCTCAATGCCGTGTCTGATGCAACTGTCTCGTGTTGGCCACCGTACCTCATCCCTGCGATCCGCATGGCCGCTGCTTATGCAATTCCGCCCAAGGTCGTCGCCTGGTCCTCAGAGATAGAAGAAGCCAGTCACAAGACGATCGTTGGGTTCCGCTTTAACATACTTACCTCCCCAGGGCGCTGCTGGAAGAATATCTGGGCGACGATGATGGAGACTCAAAAAAGAAAACGTCTACACTGGGAGATCTGTGCCCCTTGAAGTGGGAATGGACGCTGACAAACCACTAGATAGAGGAGGGGCTATGACCATGGAGGAAAGGTAGCAGGCGAACAAGCGGGAGAAGGAGGAGGAGCACGAGAAGGTACGAGAGGGAAATTGATGGGGAGCAGGATCAACAGCTGCAGTCGCAAGAATATGTGAAGTAACAACACAAGGACAAGGACGAGGCAGACGCGAGATGGTGAAAGGCCAAAGACAGCGATGCAGGTGCCTGCGGCGGTGGTGACGGAGGCGAGGGAGCTAACAACGGCGACGAAACAGACGACGATAAAGAAGGACACGAGGGTGACAGGAAGGAGGGAGCGCAAGAAGGCGGGTGGAGGGCACATACGAGGAGAGGGGTGACCTGTGAAGGAGAGGAGGGCGCCGCGGGGAAGATCAAGATTAGGATGAGGCTTTGTTTCTGGAAGTGGGCTGACATCCAGCCTCAGCTCCGTTGAGAGACAGGCGGCTCCGACCGAAGGACCGACCGAAGGCAACGAAAAACGAGCGCAGATCCGAGAAGCCTAGACGGTACCTACCGAAATGCTAATCAGGGCGATTCGGATTTGGCAGGGGATGAGCAAGAGGAGGAGGAGGAAGAAAGCCAAGAGGAATATCAGAAGGACAATCAGGTACTAGAAAAACAACTGCGACTCTCAAGTTGTAAGCAATTCCAACTAGTGGGCGCATGGAGACGCTATGTAAACAATTCCCTACAAGCGGCCACCCTACGCAACCAAGTACGCGGTGAGATGCCTTCAAGGGGCGACCCTCCTCTGTAAGGAGCCAATGGCGTTGGAGGACCCCGAGCAAGCCATTCGCTGGCGGAGAATGAAAGGAGCAGCCGTGCATAAACCATTTTAAAATTGAGGAGGAATCGACGAAGATACTGTTTCCTCGACCTCCGAGGTTCTCCGTACATTCCATTGCAGAAAAGGCCATGCCCAGCGGCATCGAAGTACAGATGTAAATGACAGTCGGCGGCAGATAAATCTCTGCACAACACTAAGCATTGCCAGCGAGCCAACCTACAAAAAGTGACGTCAGCGAGCCACCCTTCCAATGGGGAAGCAGAAATGCCGTCAGTAAACTAGGCACAAGCGTGCACAAGAGCCTGATCGCAAAGAAGGAGCCTTGCCGAGCTTCGTCTGGCAACGCGGGAATGCGAAAGGATCTAGTCACTGGACATAGCACTGGAGCCATGCAGCTCCCAAGTGAATTCTTCCTACCCGCCACCGTGCCCTGTGGCATGAAGTGGAGCGTCCCCAGATACCTTGCTCAACCCCTGAATCTCAGTCCTCAAACCTGAGGATTCTGTAAGGGGCCTGGACCAAGAATTCCCAAATCTTCGTGGGTTCCCGGCGTGACTCCTGGGCTCCCCCACGTCGTGTCAAATGACTTTTGAGGAGCTAAGAGGGCTCCGCGACGGACCAATAGGGCCCAAGGTGGCCGCCCAGTCGGTCCAAGATAACCCCGAATCGCCGAACGATCGGTCCAAGACGCCCAAGACGGCCCAAGAAGACTCCAAGACGGCCCAAGAAAACCCCAGGACAGCCCAAGAGGCGCCCAAGACGGCCCAAGAGAGCCCCAAGACGGCCCCAAAGAATAGGAAGGGGGCTTCAGAACCGACGATTCCAGCCTTCCGTCCCAGGATGCCCCCAGGAGGCCACAAGAGGCCCCAAGAGGCACCCAGGAGGCCCCCAAGACGCACAAAGAGGCGCCAAAACGGCCTCCAAGAAACATCAAAACTGCTTCCACGAGGCCACCGAGACGCCTCCCGCGACATCCCGACGAGCATCCCGAAAGCCTATGACGCAAAACCCAATCACGGCGTATGGGCCGAAGGCCATTCGATCAACACTTGGGCATGCCGTGATTACTCACCTGGTATGGTGCTGTCAGAGGTCTGGCCTTGTGGCCAGACGCCACTTCCTGTATGCTGCAAATCCTCAGAAGTTCGTGCGAAACCAGCCTGTTGTGGCTCTCCGAGCCGATACCGAGACTGCATTATCACAACCTGGCAACAATAGGCCACAACCAGCCCTGGCCAGGTCCATCCTGTCCCCTGGACTGGTGCAAAAACGCTCTGGCCCAGGATGGCATAAGCCAGGAGGGCGTATGCAATAACCGAAGGCCAAAGATGGATCTGGTTGTGGTTTAAAGTTGCAGGTGTTGTGACCAGGCGTTGGCAGGCACAAGACATGAGCTACGCACCCCGAACACAACCGTCGCATTGCTCTGCCTGGCATTGCCCTGCCCCTGGGGTGCCGTGTCTCAGCTGCGGGCTCTCTCGGAGGCGCCTGTCGGCGTCGAGCGCTCGCTGGCTGCGCCCGCTGTCAGTGCTGCACACGTGCCGCTCGAGTCATCTGCTCGGGGCAGGCACTTCTGCGCGTCCGACCGTGGACCTCCCGTGGAATGCCCATGGTGCCTTCGGCTGTTTTCTGCGCCAAAGCTGGACGCCCGCATTAGCAAAGGGGCTGCGATCGAACATCTGAGGACACAACACCGTTCACCGTCTTCTCAGAGGGCGTCGATTATTTCGCGTAAAGATGGTCTCGATGGCGGGGATAAGAGGCCACATGAGGTCCTGGGCCGACTTGCAGTCGTCGTCCGAGAAAGCGGAGGGATTGCCTCTCCCGTCGATCTTGTTGATGAACTGAAGGACCGCAATACACCGCTCGCCACTGTGATCGGAAATGGGTGCGCAAAGCATGTTCCTCGTGACGAACCCTGTGTTCCTGTCCACATCCTTGTTGAAGCGAGGATCGGCGTAGCAGTCTGGAATGACGAGGTTCTTCTCCGTCTGGAAGGCATGCGCGGCGAGCCCCGAATTCCTTGCCCCGATGGAGATGAAAAACTCCGTCGAGCTGCTGTTCATCAATAAGGTCCAAAGCTCATCCTTCTCCTCGTGGTAGATCCACATGGTCGCGCGCTCCGCCGATATCTTGGAGTTCAGTAGGCGGGTGAATCGCTCGAAGAGATCTCTGTGCTGGGCCGTCCGGTCTGCCATCGTCTTCTTCATCTGGGAGACGTTCGCGACGATGGAGCTGGCAACCAGACCACGCATCTTCTGGCTCACGCCCTCGTGGCACGCGAGGAAGCGCTGCAGCTTGGTGGAGTCCCACGTGAGCAGGAGCGTGTCACGCTTGGCGATGAAATACTCCCCCTCGTCGGCCCCAGATGGCTCCTGCCTCCGCCCCTCGCCTTCCATCTCCCTCTGCGCCATGAGGAAGTCCACAGCGCCGACGAATGCGCCGGGCTGGAGAACGGCCAGGTCCTCGCCGAATCCCAGGAGGCCCTGCTGCACCACCTCGACCTCGCCGTTGACCACCAGGCCGAGCTGTGCAGTACATTCGTCCCCGGTGCACGCGAGAGTCTCACCAGCGCGGAGCGTGCGCCACTGAGAGGCGCCCTGCTCGTTGAGAATCCGCCACCGCGCCGGGAAACAGCTGGTTTGCATCGGGCCCTCTACCCGAGCTTTGCTCACTAGCTCCCTCCCTTGCGACGCCGTCGGCTGCCCCAGCAGAAGTCAGGGTACTCCGACGCAACGAGGCCAGCGTGCGTCCAGATGTCGCTTCCACATCGCTGCGCATGTGGCCTGTAGTGCGACGAAGGGCCCAAACAGATCTACTTGTGCTGGGTGGTCGTGGCCTCAGGCCACCTGCTTCCCCCATCCCCCCATCCTTGATCCCCCCCCCACTGAGCATCGTCTAACCGATCCCTATCGCCCCCGGCGCGCCTGGGCCCCATTGGCCGATTTAAATCCCTAGATGTGGACATAGGCTGTTCCCTTCGTGATTCGAGGGACATATTCCCAACTGGGGTGGTTGGATGGTGTGGATCACGATGGGAATGTGGATTGGGATTGGTTAAACGATGCTGACCCGCACAGAACGGTGGCAGTTAGGCGCGGAAGCGCAACCGGACGAGGAAGTCATCAATGGTGATGCCGGCGGGCTTGAACACCTGGGCGTACGCGAGGGCCGTGGGGCCGTCCATGCTGGCCCGCACGTGCACCTTCAGTTGCTTGAAGATGTCCCTGGTGCTGATGAAGAGGAAGAACACGAAGGGCAAAACGTTGGTAATGTCAACGGAATCCGTGCACTCGCCCGTGCAGGTGAGCTCGTTCGAGATGCCGATTGCAGCGATGGAAAAGCCTGCGAGGTCAACCATGACCTCGGTAAAATCAAAGAGGTTCTCCTGCTGGCTCGCCAGCAACGCCCAGAACTTCTGAAATTTCCCCTGCACGGGCATGTCCTGATTCAGAATTTCCTGCACGCTCTCCACGAAGTATTCGAATTTGTTGAGACCCTTCTTGGCGTACTGTTTCATCATCGCCTTCGACACAGCGTCGCCCCAAGTATTCCAGTGTGTGTTGCTCACGTCCTCGGCGGCAATGTAGCCCCCAGTGCCAGTCAGCGACTGGAAAACCAACTTCGCCTCGTCCACGCTCATAGCCATGCCGAGAAGCTTTGCTGCGCTGAGGAACTCCTCGAGGTCGATACGTCCGTCGCCATCCGAATCGAAGCGGTCGAATGCGAAACGTATGATCTCCTTTAGCTGCTCTTGGTCGATGTTCAGCGACGCAAGGGCCTTCTTCAGTGCCTCGCTCTTGGACGTCTCGACCTTAGTCAATTCCACCTCTTGCCTCGGCGTCCCCTCCACGGCCTGATTGCTGCTCTCGTCCAGATTCCTCAGCATGCGGCGAAGCCCCCGCAGCAGCTCCTCCTTGCGGACGACCCCGTCGCCATCCGCATCGAGCATCCCGAAGACCTGCTCGGTCAGATCGCTGTGGACGGTCGCACTCGCCGAGGAACCCAGGCCCAGCCCTGGACCGCCAGCTCTACCAGGCGGTCTATGGGGAAAAGAACAGATACGGATGACGTTGTCTCTCCAGGGATGCGTTCTGACCAGAACTTTGAAGCGAACCCAGCCGTGGCGACGAAGGCTTCCCAGGAGATCACAGAAAGGCGAAAGCGACACAATGGTGGCTGTGCAGGTACCTTTTCCTCCTCTGAGCCTGGGCTCGGTTCTGGACACGGACTCACTGGGCCCCGCCAGAGGATCCCGACCCAGTGCGCTGCCACTGTGCGTTCCCAGCTTCTGCCGGGAGCCGGCGCTGATCCAGGCTGGCGCCTGTAAGACGAAGCCAGGACGAGGACAAATTCGGATGAGAAGACATCGGGAATCTCTGCGATCCGGCGTCTCTGGAGGGTATCTCGGGCGCCGCAGCCTTCTCAGAGCGGTCCGAAACGCTCTGAAAAGGATTTTGACAGGGGATATGTCGACCCCATCCCAGGCTTTGGGAGGTTTTCGAGAGGACCCCAAAATTTGGTGCCCAACCCTGGGATAAAGGATGGGGGGGGCGTCCATCCTTGACAGGGTTGCGTCCGAATAACTCTCTGGGGGTGTATCCCAGGGTTTCCCTCCTGTTCCGAGCGGCCTCATTGTTTCCGGGATACCAGAAGGCACCGACACCGCTACTCCCTGAAACTCTCTCGGGGTGCGTTCTGACCAGAACTTCGAGGCGAATCCAGCGGTGGCGACGAGGGCCTCCCCGGAGGCCCGAAAAGGAGAAAACGAAGGCATGGTGGCGGTATGGATACCTTTTCCTCCTCCGATGTTCGTCGAAAAGTCGGGGGCTGGGGGAACAAAAGACGCCTGCGAGATTTGCCGTCGTCCTAAGCAGCCCCTTCCGAGCCTGGCCCGCGCCCGCCCGCGCGGTGCGGAGGCGCGCCGCCCGCAGCCGGGCAGCGCCGCGCCTCTTCCTGCGGCCCGCCCGCGAGCAGCATGCCGCCAGGGCGGAGGCCAGCGCCACCACCGCCCCCGCCGCGGTGGGGTGCCCCGCGCGAGGCGCACCGCCGAGCCCGGGCGCGGGGCCAGCCGAGCGCGCAGACGTCCGGGCACCGGCTACCGTCCTCTCGGCGGCGGGCCCCGCGGCCTGCCCGCGCGGCAGAGCGAGGGCCTGCATCCCGGCAGGGCGCCAGCTGCCGCCGACGGCGGGCCGCTGGCGTGGCGCCGCGGTGGGTGCGCCCGCCTGGGCCCCCGGGGGGGGCCGCAGGAGCGGGGGGGCAGCCTTCTTCGAGTTCGGGCCAGAAGTACAGTGTCAAAGTCGACTGCGGCTGAAACGCTGAGAGAAGTTTGGTGGCCCGCGGGGTCTGGCGCAACCTGTGGCACGACCTGTGGGATCTAGCCATGCTGGGGAAATCATGATTTGGTGGCCCGCGGGGGGCCTGGCGTACCATATGGCGCATCCTCTGGAATGTGGGCAGAGGGGAGTTCTGGCGAAACACATGGCGCGCAAGGAAGTAGACCGACCTGGGACATCGCAACTCGCTAGCCCGCGGGGGCCTGGAACAGCAGATGGCGAAAACAAAAAACTATGACGCATCCCATGAAACCTAGACAAACATTCGAAATCTCGAAATGATGGCCCGCCGGGGGGGACTGCCGCGACCCTCTGGCGCAACCTGAGGAATGTAGACTGACTGACTGACTGACTGAAGCCGAGCATCCCTGACGGACGCGTGGGCAAAGTGGGCGAACCAAGATACCACATACTGTATAATGTACAAAGGCACAAGCACGGGAGGAGGAGAAGGGGGGAGAGGGGAGAGACTTACAACCGCTTGCAAACTGACAGCGCCCATTGCTGTCTCGGGCGGCCCTGGCGCCTGCCGAGGGCCCAGTTCTTAGGGGCACCGTCGGCACCGCACACTAGTTGTTTAACCAGTGAGGCGTCGGTACGAGAAGCGATTTTCTTGTCCAAATCTGTTTGCCGAATCACTGCTCTGTGGCAGCGGAAATCACTGCTGTGGCAGGCAGGGAATCTGGGGGAAGCTATGCCGAGCAACCCGTGGCACTAACTCGTGAATGCAGACAGGCCAGGGACATCGCGGTTTGGCATGGGGGGTGTCGGCGCAAAACGTAGCGCGAGACCTTGGGCGCAACCTGTGAACTGCACGCAGACTTGGAAAACTAGTCTTGGTGCCCCCCACGTCTGGCGAAACCTGTGGTGCGAAACCCAGCGTGCGCAACATGCGCAGGAGAACCCATAATCGAATATATAAGTCGGGTCGGCGATCGAAATGAATCGGATCGGCGGAAATCGGCAGCCGAGTCGGGAAACTTCAAATCGGCGGGAATCGGCAGACTAGCAGGCATCCGTTGAAAAATTGGAGCCCAAATCGGAATCCGAAGTCGGATCGAATCGGAATTGGAAACCATCGAAATCGAATCGAATCGAATCGGAATAATCGAAATGAGCCCTGTATGCGGGGCAACGTTTGAAGTGCAGGCATACGCGGGAGCTCGTGTTTTGGTGGCCTCGGAGGGTGGGGCTGACGCAAACTTATGGCGAAACCTACATAGACAGACTCGGGAACTTCCGACGTGGAGACCCGCGATGGATCTGGCACGAGCAACTGATGGAATGTAGATGAGGGGCAACGACAGGGGGAACTGGCACAGGGGGGGACACATCGACCTGGAATCGGCGATACATCGCCGATAAATCGGCGTTAGGCCCCCGATAGTGGATCCGCACGTTCCTGGGCAGGTTGGGGCCATCGGGCCCCTATCGGCGATCAATGGGCGATTGGGGGTCGATGCAATTTCCCCTATGCATATCCCCCTATCGTTGCCCCTGGGTAGACCGACATCGATCGTCCTGTTGGTGGACCACGGGGGGTCTGGCGCAACCAGTGTCGCGCAACCTATAGTGTAGGCAGCAGTCGCGAGGCCTTCCGCAGACTGCGGCGCGCGCCCTGTGGCTTGATATTGCCTCGCGCTGCAGAGAATACCCTCAACATCTGGAAAGCACATCGAATGAGGCAAAGGACGATTTGGTTGCCCGCGGGGCGTCCAACGAACCTATGGCACAACCGCTGAGGCAACGGACCCGTCGGTTGCCCGGGGAGTGTCTGGAGGCCAGGACCGTCCTCCTTAATGCCAGACTGTCTGTGCTACCCATCACCGCTCACGGGGTGTGTACTACACAAGAACCTAGACAACATACTTCAGGAAACAAAAGACAACAGACTGGACTGCACATACGGTAGACCATACGGGATATCACACCAGAAGACCTTCGGGAAACCACGCGGGCGACCATTTGGCGTACCGCACGGGAGACCCTGCGAGAGACCCGTTTGGAGACCAGAAGGGCGACCAGCGGGGAGACCGAAGGGGAGACCACACGGGAGACCATACGGGTCGGGAGGGCTCTGACGGACTGGCGGGTCGGGTCGGGTCGGGTCGGGCGGGCCGTGACGGGAGGGTCGGGTCGGGCAAGTCGGGTCGGATCGGGAAATGTCAGGGCGGGCGGGCCCTGACGGGCGGGTCGGGTCGATCGGGTCGGGTCGGGCCAGGCGGGCCCTGCGGATCGGTCGGGCGAGCCGGGTCGGATCAGGCCCGGCGGACACTGACGGGCGGGTCGGGTCGGGATCGGTGCGAAGCGGAAGACGGCGACACCAGACAAGAATGACCCTGACGAGCGGTTGGGGTCGGAAAGCGGGGTCGGGCATAGGCAAGGCCTGGGCATAGGGTAAAGGCCTAGCCTTAGAGGTAGGGCCTATCCTTAGGGGCAAGCCCCCGGGGTAGACCAGAGGTAGGCCGAGGGTAGACGTAGGGTAGGCCTAGGGTAGGCATAGGCCTAGGGTGAGGTCTCGGAATGGGCCTGAGGCTAGGCCCTAGAATAGGCCTAGGGGTAGGCCTGGAGGTAGGCCTAAGGCAGGCCTAGGGTAGCCCGAGAGGCAGGCCCTAGGATTAGCCTGGGGGTAAGCCTGGGGTTAGGCCACAGGGTAGGCCCTAGGGGGAGGCCTAAGAGTAGGCCTAGGGAACAGCTCCCAGGGCAGCCTAGGGCAAGCCTGGGGTAGGCCTAGGGTACTTTGAAGAGGGTTGGGAGGCCCAACCAACAGCTTCGCCTTAGGCGAAGCCAAGCTCCCGCTCTGTTGTACCGCAGTAGCGATAGTTCCAGTAGTACGGGGCGAGCCATCTCACGCAGTGTTTTGGTATCGATGGCAAATAGTACACCTCGCGCTGAGGTGCAGTCAGATCTGAGCGGCCAGCCGCTTGAGCCAAGCAGCCGCGGATGCACGCTCGTTCCCACTCACATGCAACGCCCAGCTCACTTTAGAGTCGGGGGGGAGGGAGACGAGGCGTGAATCCGCCGCCTCTTACAGCAGATACAGCAGCGACTATCTACAGAAGGGCAGCAAAAGGGGGGGCTGTAAGGAAGGTGGACCCGCACGCAAGGTGCCTTGCCTGTACTTTTCTGCACACACAGATACTCCTCAGGCGGCCACAGAACGAGATGTCTGGCCAGCCCGATAGGGAGTATGACTCTGTAAGTCACGTTTGAAGGATCGTATACCTCCCATGTCAATCTCCCCTTGGTGTGACCGTCCGCAGTCACATCGCGGGTGTCGCACCACTGAATGCTGTGCACGATTCCTCGCTCCATCATCTGTCGTATCCAGCTGATGTGTCCTAGAAGGGTACACTCACTCGGCTTCGCTAAGTCTTTGCTTGACAATGTTTTTGTTTTTCTTCAAAAAAAAAAAACGCATATATTGTCAAAGTGGCCTTGATGCGCAAGCCACCCAACTCAAGCATGTCTTTCAACTGAGTGGGAGTTAGCGGCCCTGCGTGGAGCTCGTGCAGAGTCACGATCGTGGGATAGCAGACCTCCAAGTTATGTGCAGCTGCTAGTGTCTCTGCTGAATAGCTCGAGCGGGCCTGCAATAGGTAAGTCTTGCAGTGTGCATCGATCAAGTGGACGACGGGCTTACCAGAGGGCGTGTTTCCACGCCGCAGCAGGTTTGCCCCGCGAATACCATAGCCTTTGACGGCGTCTATGGCGTCTCCACTCAGGCGTCGGTAACCTGAGTCGCTGTGCAGGCCGACCTCGCCCGTAGGGGTCATCGCCTGGTAGGCGGTCTTCTTAGGGCAGGCCTGCAATTTCCTGGTGATCGCGCTGAGTCGTCGCACTTGCATATTGGTCGGTTCTTGGGCACGTTGTAGGACAACAACATGCGTCATCAACCACGCCTGGGTGATTAATGCATACGCCAGCGCGCCTCTGAGGCTGACGAACATGTCTGCAACCATCTTGGATTCCTGAGCGTCAGCGTCGGCGCCGGTAAATTAAGGATGTTGTATCAGACGGAGCTGCTTGATGTATTCGTCTCGGTCCAAAGTATCATTGCCGTCCTCATCCTTAGTGTATCTCACAGCACAATTGGTGTATGTATGCTTATTGAGTTTTCGCTTGCCACAGGTCTTCAACGCGCTTGACAGACTTGTCAATGGTGTCATCAGTATCGGCCACATTGGTATCATCAACATGTTTGGCCGTAAGCAGGTTGCTACTCGTCTCGACCTCCTCGTCGCAGGACGCGGGTCGGAGACCAAAACCTCTTGTGGCCCTTCTGAGCTTCAGTGAGAAAGCTCGGGGTGCTTCTTTGGTGACTGTGCCTGGTTTAAGGCGCTGCAAGCAGTGCATTGACGTCGTAGTGTTCGAACCCTGGGGGAATTCGAAGCACCGCGGCCGACGCGCACCACGCGTTCCTTTTCACCAGTTGCCTCAGCCAAGTTCCTGGTAGGTCAATCCTTTCAGGAAGGCCATGTGATGTCGAGGGAGGCAATGATCCATTGCTCCTTGCACGCTGCCGTGCTCGCGAGCAGTTTCTGGCTTTGTCGCCGCGCTGTTCCCGAACAGGTTTCCATGTCAAAAGGCTTCAAGGTCCATGAAGGCTCGAGGAACCAAGCGTAATATGATGGTACGTTCCATCTCACCCCTCTCGTTATTCACAAACTTCCGTTTGTACATGTACCTCGAAGTCATGATGTTTGACGCTTTGGATATGCCTTGCAATTTGAAACACGCGTTGTCAAACCACGCCTTGAGTTAGGTGTAGAGGGCTTTCGAGACTTTCTCGGGATTCGCCTGTCAGCCTTCGCGAGGAGGTCGTCCTCCTTGACGACCGCAGCTCGTTTTGCAGCGGCGGTAACGTATACTCGCATAGCGGCCGCGCGGTCGGCTATCCTGCGCTGCGGCTACCTGTGACACTTCTGTCGTAA